CCCCAAAACCCCAAAACCCCAAAACCCCTTTCTTCGACACCAAAATTGATAATAATTGAATGGAATGTTTAGTGTTTATAACTTCTTGAATTTTAGTGTTGACTCAACAGTCAAATTATGAGCAACTGGAAATCTGACAGAGAGCCCAACAGCTAGGCTTTGGGTATGAGGAGTATCAGGTCACGAAGGAGGATGGGTATAAACTTAAGCTGAATAGGATATCCTCTAGTTTACAAAATCCATAGATAGAGGGAAAGCTCCTATACTTTTGCACATCTTTTGTTTGTAGAAGGAGAATTGTTTACTTTACTCGATTCAGTCCATTTTCCTGCTTTCTACCTTGCAAATCAAGGAAGGGATGTTTGGATCATTAATATGAGAGGTTCAAAATTTAGCCAACGGCATGTGAGTCTTGACTTTAACACAGATGAATACTGGTATTTTCATATAACAGGCTTTTCTAAAATTCCAGTATTTGCCTTGTTATTTGGAGGAACCAACTTTGCTATTTCATTAGCTCTTGAATCAGAGTTCTTCTCATCAAGAATCTCTGTAACAGTATTAGCATCTAAAGTTCTAAATTCTGGGCATACTAATGGATTAATCTATGCTTTTTTGGGTAATTTCCCTCTTTTATCAATATTTTAAGGTAATTACAAAATGTGTTTTTCAGTGATAAGAATAAACTTATAAGTACTCTTGTCTACACAATCTCCAAATGCTTGCCCAGGCACTTCAAGGATCGATATAACCTGTGTTAGGCAAAGGCAATCTATTCGACCTTGATCTTAAAGGATGGAGTAACCTTATAGTCACCTCTCAGTATGAACTTGGCAATGAGTCTTTACAACATTATTTCAAAGCGTAAGATCTTCAGATTTTACATACTATTATTACAGAACTGAAGGAAGCCTTGAAGTTTATGAAACAGATACTCCTCCTGAATACCCTCTAGAAAACATCAATGTCCCAATAACTTTAATGTTCTGCCAATTTAATAACATTATTACTGACTAGGATCATCAATGGCTAAGGGAAAAGATTAGTGATAACCTCATATTTTAGCATACCTACTAAGAGTAAGCAGCTAATAAGTATTGCTCTTTTATATTCGAATATTTCCATAAGCTTTAACTTATCAATAGCCTTAACAACTCATAAGTATTCTCACTTTCATTCTTAATTGGAGAGCACATAGATGACTATCTGGAAGACTTAACTGAAATAGCTGAAGAATCCTACAGTAATTGAGAGTCAAAGTTAGTTCTTTATTTTTTGTGCCTATATCAATTCCAATTATTAAAACCCTTGTTGGGGTTTTGGGGTTTTGGGGTTTTGGGG